GGGTGTTTTAACGGCCTCCCCTTTCTCAGAGACATACACTAGGTACATACCCTCCTCTTGGTTCTGTTTATAGTAGTTATAGAACGCTGATGCACACAAGCAGCCATAGGTATCGATTATACTACTGGCTTTGAACTTAGTTAGTCTCACTGTTCTTCCATCAGGCAACTTATGCTTTAGCACCTTCTTGTCCCAGTCAAACTGGGGCTTGGCAACCTCAAGGTAGTACATTCCTAACAACATGTCAAATGGTAAGTCGTCGCTAACCAGGAACGAAATCTTATGATCAAGTTTCCCTCCTCCATAGGAGAAAGTACAGACTACATCCTTGATATAGTCTGTGACAACCATGCGCTACTTATTGGCCAAAGTAGATGCTACCGGTCTGCTAAGGTGTTGTACCCGGTCCTGTAGGTGCAGCCTTTCCAAGCAGTCGCGACTTATGTAATTCCGTGTGGAGCCGATGTATATGAAGGCACCACATTTGCGGTCTCCTACAGCAACTTCCACAACGAAATGTTCCCCTCTATGACCTTTTCTTAGTGCCACCCAAGATTCGCGAGGGTCCTTGCTTGACCACTCACTTTCTAAATCTTCTAAGGCATCAGACACATCCAACGTGCAGAGTATAGTTTGGTCTGGATGAGTCTGCAGGGTGACTAAAGAGTCATTAGCTATAGCCTGCTCATGAAGTGGGGAGGGTATCTGACCCACTTCACCATGAGTAGAAGCAGCTAAAACTTTCATCGGCCTCGCATGTTTCCCGATCTTGAAGCCTGGGAAGAAGGTACCCCAAACTTAGGAGGTATCTTATGCGTGACCTTTGCGTTCTTGCACTTGTACTGGGTGTGTCCGTATTCACCACAGTTAATGCAAGCACCACGCACTCTACGGTCCCGCCACACTTCCTGATCAAGACCTGCCTTGACCCAATCAGCAACTTTGGTCTGGTTGGAGGCGGCCTGCCCTTAGACTCTTTTGATGGCCCTTCCCTCGGCCACCTGCCTTAGTCTTTACAACTGCGGCGAGGGTGCTACCCTTAGCGGTCTCCTCACCGTCGTACTCTGTACTGTCCAACAGGTCTGAAAGCTCCTCGATCTCGGTTTGAGTCCCATCAGACTCAACCATCATCAATTGACTCCCCTTCTTCTTCTACTCCTATGGACTCTTCTTCTTCTACTCCTATGGACTCTTCTTCTTCCTCGTGTCTACCTGAGTAGGTTGAGCACTTCCTAGGGTAGCCTCTAAGTCTAAGGCTTTTCTAGATAAGGTCTCAAACGAATGATACTCGAGGCGAGCCTCGCTCTCGGGCAGACATCTCACGAACATGGTCAATAAGACCTGGTCATCATAGCGTATGCCTGGCACGACAATAAGGCTCTCTATGGTAGACGTTAGCTCTCTGACTGACTTGAACTTTCTTTGGTCTAGTCTGAGCATCGCATCAGTGGCAATTTGTGCCTGTTGTGGATTATGCCAGCGAGCGTCTACCATATCTAAGAACTCTTCTAACGTTAGGGTCTTAGCCCAGTCCACCATGCGTCGTCCGTACCCGGCCTTCCCTACTAATCCATCCAGCCATTTGGCTGCCTTACCCTCAAGGTCTTGCAAAGTCCTCTTTGCCCTTACCCACACTGGACCTGTTCTCAACCAAGTGTTGAGTTCCTCGTCCTTCTTCTCTCCGGAGAAGGCAAGGGGCGGTTTCATAGGGGTCTTTGGGTACCAATGACCTTGTTGTTGTCTCTGTGGTGGAACAGTTTGTTGCGGCTGTGGAGTAGCACCTGCCGCTGGACCAGAAGAAGAAGAAGCAACAGTCTGTGCGGCTGCTGCAGACGTACCACTTGGCTGTGTGCCAGCTTGTACCGGAAAGGGGCCTGACATCGCCGTTAATGGCAACGACGACTGTGCTGCTGGCCTAAATCCTCGCGTTTGCAAAAGGTCCAAGATCTGGTCCAAAGAGTTCTGCATGAAGTCCAGTCTGCTGTCCACATGCGCATGCAGTGACAATACGTTGTTCTTCAGTACTTTAATTTGGTTAGTCATGGCTGACTCATCCAAACCCTCCAATGCAGCTTTGTCTGCCTCTAACGTATCAAGCCTGGCTGTTCTATTTTTCAGTTCCCTCTCTAACCGCTCGCGGATCCTTTCGACTTGTTGGAGCTCTAGGAGCTCCCTGCCGCGTGGGGTCAACGGGCTTAACTGCGAGCCCGCCATTTGACTTGTGGACTGACCAGAACTTACTGCCCCGGAAGTACCCGTGGGCCCAACGGGCATTCCCAACTGGGTCCCAAACGAGGACGCAGCAGAGGCTGCGCCGTTAGCCATTGTTGCTGCTCTGGCTGCTGCTGCCTGCTCTCTAGCTGCTGCATTTGCTGCTGCCAACGCCTGACTTGCAGCTAGTGCTGTTTCCCTGGCTGCTGCGAGAGCACGGGCTCTATTTTCGGCACGAAGCCGTCTTTCGTCTCCCGGTTGTAAGGTCTGAAACACGTGCGGGACCCTAAGTGATCTTGAACGTGTCAGTCTCACATCGTCAACTCCACCCTCATCGGTGTCTGACCTGCTCATCAGTTAGGCAAACACTATCTGCACTACAACTCCTTGCTGGAGTCCTACCACAGCATATGTCTGACCGGCACCTAATTTTCTAAAAATAATTGTGTCCGGCAGGTCCCCTACTTGACCGATCAAGTGGCAGCCTACAGCATTCACAAAAGACTGTCAACATAATCTAGTTGTATCGTGATTAGTTCACTTACATAAGTTCTGCAAAGAACTGGCTAGGATAGTATACAACAGTCCTAAGCTAAAACTGTCTGTGAGGTGTTAGCAATCTGTCAACCAACTAATCAACAATAAAACTAAAATATGTTGCAGATGTATGAACAGTGGATATAGTTGTGTTTACAGTTGAGCACCAATTAGAACCTACCCTCCCCTCAATCCAACATACCGAAGAGCATCTTTGAGCAGCAGTGTCTTCGTGTGTAATGTCGGCCCACCCCTGTGCCCCAAGTCATTGTCGAGCAAGCCAGCCCATCCACTCTTATTTACCCTCGTACGGAACGAGCCTTACTACCCAGTTTGATCTGGCTGATCAGGAGGGATTTAAGGAGAGCCCCCATCTCCTCAGGAATTATTTAACGTCGCAGACAGGACGACGATCACAGCCAGTATCAACACCGAGTCCCCAGCCAGAAGTATTTATAGACGGTCTGGTAAGCGTCTCTTATGGGCTGGCACACCCGGCACGACTTCTATAGCGCAGCAAAGTGCCAAAATGGACAAGCAGCCATCGCATGCGTGACCTACTCCCATTGGGTTGGCATGGTGACAATGACCCAAGTGCTTCGATCAGGGCCCTTCAGAGGCACCGCCCTTTCTCCTTCCAGATCCTTCCGGGAAGATTGTCGTCTCTCAAGGTAGCGCGCATTTGACACCTCACCAAAAGAGAGGACTCTCAAGTTGGACTCACTTCCTCACGGTAAGAAGAGATTGAGAGRGTAGATAAGGTAAGGGAACAACGTACCTGGAGATAGCTGCCCCCAACCACAGATTTCTCACCAATTGAGCTGAGTGTGCATTTGATGACCGGTCGTAGCCTCGGTACCACCCACAGCGCAATGCAGTGCCACCTCAGCTAAATGCCACATCAGCATGCTCTCATCACCAATCATACATTCCGCTGTAACCACGGCTTCCCATGCCGTATAGTCTTCCGGCGCACACCTCTCTACCCAGGTCGTGCGCCTAATGTTGGCCTGACGTCACAAGAACCAACTGCGAAGACGCATCTTCAACGCACCAAGTCTGTATAACGCCAGCGCACCAAGGTAAGTGGCGAATCGAACCAGCTCCGATACCAATCATGCAAGGAACATGAATGTGGACGAAGCACAAAAATCCAGATTACAAAATCACACTGAAGTCCAAGTAGTCAAAGCAAGAGCAGATAGCACAATGGAACCGAGTAACCATCCATTTGAGAACGATACAGAAGAATYGTGAGTCAATGTCCAAGCCCAATCGGGCAACACCAACAGCATAACCCAATGTAGCTCTCTCTCTTGAATGGCGCCMGGCGCCCTACCTACTCTACAGCCTATCACTACAACTACARCAWGGAAGCAACCAGACAACTTGACGACCAGCGAGTGATGATGTCAACACCAATGCCGACCTCCTCTCCACCAGGTACGTCCCTCTCTTCACCCTCACTCTCCCTTGTTATCCCACACAGCGACCTTCACCTCCGAAGAACCACCTTCGCCCTTCACCTTCTCTGCGCCCACAGGCAGCCTGGCTATGGCCACCAGCGCCCTGCGCCCAGGCTGCGCTCTACCGCTTAGCGCCAGCCTGCCCTCCCTCAGCCTAGTGCAGCGCAGGCACACTCGCAATGCAGCAGCGTGCTGGCCTTGCTCGCAATGGCCAAGATCCCTGCCCACTCGCGCTCCCTGCCTATATGCCAGTGTTGCGTGTGGGCRGTCTCCCTTGAGCCTGCGCCTGGGCCCCAGTACCTGTACCCAGGCCCAATGCGGTTGGGGCCCAGGAGATGCAGTTGCGCCTCTTTCATCAAGGCCTGCGGCCAGATCCAGATAGTAGACCGGTTTCCCATTGGCATTTTCGGCCTCTATATCCAGCATGCATTGTCAGCCTCACGTTTATGTGCCCAGGGCCTAACCAATTCTGGGGCACTGGGATTTCTGCATTTGCAGAGATCCAATACTCGGTGCACTCCGACCAACTGGCGTGCGGCAACTGTATGGACCCCACTTCGTGATTTGCTGGCCCGCCTTCACTTAGGGCGGGCACGAGGCTTGCTGGGGGCCTTAGCCCAGAACATGTACATCATGGCAAGGCCCCTTTTTGAGGGCTCAATCCTCACAAAATGCTTTTTTCTAGCCAATGTCCCCATTTGGCACTTGCTTTGGATAGAGAGAGGCTTTCGCCTTTGTCATCTTTGATCCAGGGGTTGCCAAAAATGTGCTGTCTTAGGACTTCATCTTTCCTTTTAGGGCCGAGCTTGCTGAAACCTCCAGTCGGCACTTTTCTAGCTGTTTGCACTCAGTCAGTTTACACGACACTTCGCAGACCACTCCACAGCAGTTCGATGCACAGACGGCATGAAACATCGGGAGATCCATCGAAGATTCAGAATAAAACACACATCCAACGCCCAGAAATCCATATCCGGTTAAACATCGAGCGACGCATGAATGAATAAGAAGCCCGGGAGTTTAGCAGGAATTTCACACACACAAAAACAAAAAAAAAACGCCCACAAACCGACAGTTGTGTAAACATCAAATGTTCAGGACTAATTTTACGAATAGCGCTATCATTGATATGTGTCACCGACTTGGACATTGCTAATGCTATAGCTGTTAGCAGAAAAATTCCCACCACAGCCTGTCTGGACTTTCATCCAATGACAAGACCAACCAAGTCCAGATAGGACCATGTTCTTTTCCTCAGCTGGACACGTTTCAGGACCCCGCCGCCCACCCCGCTATAGAGGGGAGTTGAGGACTATCCGCGAAGTTATCCAGAAGTGCAACTAACTGCAAGCATGAATTCGTCCAACATCCCGGCCAGATGAATCTGCACAGTTCAGACTCTTCAGAATCCAGACGGGGAATCAGCTTTGTTTTTGTTCTCGTTTATCCTGACAAAGGGTGCTTTTTTTCTTCCTCCCCCCCTCCGCCCCCCCCTTCCTCCCCCACCCCCTCCTTCCCCCCTTCCTCCCCCTCAAGGACAACAACTATTTTTGTGTTTATTCTTTTGACTCGAATTTAGCAAGGAATTTGGAGATGACCTTCCGTCTTGCAATGCTGCATGGCATATCATGTCATATCTTGTCAGTAAGTTTCTGCCAGATTTTATTTTTTGGAGTTCCTTGAAAAGTCAAAATTTTCCGGAATTATTATTAAAAAAGAAAAAGAAGATTGAATTCAAATTATTCCATATTTTAATAATACTTTTGGCTTATCTGGACATGCAGACCCAGACGGCATCCCAACATTCGGAACTACATAGTCAGGGACTGTGCTAACTACCGTCCTCACATGAATAGAATGCCCGGTCATTATCGCAGCATGTGGACCGGAAGTTGACCCAAATTCAGGGGTAATGACCGGCCGTTCTGTTCAGGTGAAGACGGTAACCCTCTATAACAATCTGAAGGCACTAATTTACTGATTGCCCCTCTGTTCACATGGTATGCGGTGGTCCTCAAACACAGCTATCCCAACCCTCGTAGATGCTCCCTTTGACTACCTCTTGTACTGACACCTCAACCATCTCTTGCTATCCATTACCTTCGTATCTTGACATTCTTCAAACTCATTTCGAGTTAATTCCTTAGATGTGCTCTTTGCGAATAGCAAGATGGTTGAGGCGTCACTGCAGGAGGTTGTTCTTTCTCGTCATACCAAGGTAGTAGAATTTTTGTTGGAGATGCTCCCCCATTGAGATGTCACGGACTACCCCCTATATGAGTGAACATGAATAGATAAATGCTCATAGCCTCATACTAAGAGGTATGGGACCAATGATCGCTTTCCTCTTCTCGAGCTTTCCCCACCTTTTCCTTTACTACTCTGAAAGTTTAACACAGTAAACAATTTCCCTTAATCTAAGTTTAACACAGTAAACAATTGCCCTTAATCTAAGTTTAACACAGTAAAAAAATTGCCCTTAATCTAAGTTTGACACAGTAAACAATTGTCCTTAATCTAAGTTTAACACAGTAAAAAAATTTCCCTTAATCTAAGTTTATTGACAGATATTCAGAATAGGACAAATCAAGAGGGTTAACAATTGGAAGGTACATGCCACTGCATGACCATATGAAGGGAGCACAGTGAAGAAAACCTCACCTCACCAAGGTGGAACAGAGTCAATGCATATTCAGGGTGCTTTTTACCAAAAGATGCCTCCTTCACCTGCATTCCCAAGCAGAGAACGAGGGGCCAAGGTCCGATCCATAATTAATTTTCAGAAGCAGTCGGTTTTCCAGAATGGTACGCAATATACTCCACAACAGCGACTGTTGAATCAAGACTTCACGACTTGAGCAGAAATGTCAGGAGCTAGCCCTAATGTTACTCCCAACAGAAAAGAGGGAAATGACACAGTAGCTAGTTTATCACATAAGCGTTATCCTAGAACACATGAAGGAATGGAAAGCGAAGCGTTCACTGTACTTTGACCAGGGAGAGAGTTGGGGGCAGGGGAACAGCCTGTGCATATGTTTGAGAAAGAATGGGGAAAAGGTGCACAAGAGGAACTCAGGGGTGAAGGTGGAGACGGAGAGGGCAGGACTCCGAAGGAGATAGCCAGTCCTGGCCTAGGATACGTCCATGTCCGCACAGAATCGAACCGGCACCCATAGCCGCATGAGCTAAGTCTCTTAACCACTACAGCCATGACACGGTGTATAAAGTGCCCCCGGTATGGCTGTAGTGTCCTCTCTCTCTCTCTCTCTCTCTCTTGCCCTCTCTCTCTTGCCCTCTTCCTCTTGCCCTCTCCCTCTCTCCCTCTCTCCATCTCCATGACACGGTGTATAAAGTGGAACTATACTGGTTATAATATCCACGCACACCTGCGTGACTCTCTCTCTCTCTCTCTCTCTCTCTCTCTCTCTCTCTCTCTCTCTCT